TTTAGCTCTTGCTCAACGGTCTCAGTCGGAGGATTTCGACAGTCTCAGTCGGAGAAGAAGACAATCGATGTCTTCGCAGGTGTCGGGGTGGAGAAGAAGATTTCCCCAATTTTGTTAGGGTTTTAAGAGAAAAATTGAACCCTCTTTCTGAAACAGAAGGTTCAATTTGGTTTAATAAATCTAGGTCGATTACCGGTTTGATCAGAGAAAATCAATTTTAAAACGCGATTTAGTGATCTTAAAATGCATTTAAGGAGCTTAATTGATTTTGGAGAATTAGGCAGAATTTTATAAAAATGGGTGGAATTGTGAAGAATATCATGTGTATAGGGTGAAATAGGTAGAGGGTAAAAGTACAGGGGGAACCGAGTTGGAACGATATAGTACAGGGGGACAGAGGCAGGCAGCCTTATTCTATTAAAGCCTCAAACTATATTATGACAAAAATTGTTAGCATTTGTAACCAAAATCCCAATTCAATTCAGTCTGTAATTAACTGTTGACAGAGCTCTTTTGTTCGCTTTCAATAAAAATATTAAAAATCGTACTTTTAAAATCTTTATCTAGCTATAACAATGAAAAGAGTAGAAATAATTTTAAAAAAAAGTCAAATGAACAAAAAAAAAATAGAAAGAAAGAAATGTTTCTTATATATTTATCTCTTTTATGAAAGATATTCCAAGAAATAATCAGCCATGGCATGTACAAAGACATTATCGCCATGATTTCTAAAATCCATATAAGACAGCATTTTGGTTTTGACACAAAAGGAAATTATCACTACATATATTCATGATGATGATGAATTTGAAGATTCATAAAGAGAAATAAAAGAGTGAAAACATTCCCTAAGACGATACTTGTACAGTACGTAACCAGCTGCAAGTATGCAAACTGCAGCTAGAATCACAAACGTCAAGAACCATCCGATTCTCTCTGCAAAAAAAAATTAACAAATAAAACAAAATGAGAAAATGATTGTTCCAAACGAATCTAACAAAGTTTAGATCTTTAAAGCATTCACCTTCACATTTAAGACCGTCTCTTTCAAAGCCTTAAATATTTGTTAAGGGTGTCATTTTTCTCTCTTTAATTTGATTTTTGATGTATTTTCTTATGTAAAGCTTCCTAAATCAAATTGGAAATAAATAACTGCATGTCAAACATAAAAATTGGAATAAATAAAGGAAAAATGCAAGAAAAAAAAAAGACCTTTCAAATCACAAAAAAGAAAGTGAAAATTATTTAGAATGACCCATATTTGTAGTGAAATAACTAGAGTGACTTAGTTCTAGGAACTCTAACTAGACTAACCCATATCTTTTTGACAAAGACATTCTAACCACTTTTTTTCAACATATTAAAAAAAATGGCATTATGAATTATTTTTAATAAAAAGTAAACTAAAAAGAAAAAAATATTAAAATCTAAAATTCATGTTTTCTTTTTCACATTTTTCTCTCGACACTTTACTTCTCTCTTCCTCCAAAACCTAGCCGCCACCTCTCTTCTAAATTCCGTTCGCCGTAACTCCGACCGCTGCGCTTCCGTCCAGCTTTGTCCACCAGTACCTGCCGCTTCATCTTTCTCCTCTCTTGTCCTCTCCACCGCTTCTCCCTTTTCCGCTGGAAACCATCGCTTCTCTCTTCTCTGCCGCTTCTACTTCATCTTCTTAGGCTTCGCCGCCAGCATCTATGTTGGATTCCGTCACCAACAACAGCAACGTTGAGGTTTTCCTTTGATTTATGGTTTATATTTTTATAAAATGAGTTGGAAAAACATATTGCATGAAAGGTGTTCGATGAAATGTCAGTCTTGACGGCAGACTTATTTGTTAATTATCACAGATTTATTTGTTGCTCATCACAGACTTGTTTGTTCGTTTTCGTAGATTTATTTGTTGCTCATCGCAGATATGTTTTAAGTAATAACAATTCTATCAATGTCTATTGCAGGATCATATTGCGAGTATCTTTGTTGGTTGCATTGTTTTGTTGGTTGTATTTTGATTGCATATCTTTTTGTTAGTGTTTCTAGATTTAATTGCTGCTCATCACAGATTTGTTTGTTTGTTGTATTGTTTTGATTGCAGATTTATCATTACAGATTTGTTTGTTGGTTGCATTGATTTGATTGCAGATTTATTGGTTCTCAATGGGTTCTGTCTAGTCATCGACATAGATTCTGGTGGAGTTAACTTCAGTGACTATGAATTTCGCTGGTTTGTGTTCTCTAAGACACAAATTTGTTAGTATCACCACAGATTTGTTTAGATATGACCACAAATTTGTTTTGATATGTTCACATACTTGTTTGTATCACCACAGATTTGTTTTGACATAACCACAGATTTGTTTTAATATGTTCACAGACTTGTTTTAAGTATGTCCACAGTTTTGATTCGTTGATCACAGATTTGTTTTGAAAAATGCATCTAGGATTCTGGAGAAGAAAAAGAGTGCCTAGCCATAGGATGGCATTTTGATGGACTTAACGATGGGAACATTCAGGCATTGCGGGAGAGATTAGGAGCTGAGATGTTTGAGGAAGTTCCACTGACGGGAGACGTAGCATTGACTAATCCATTGCCTCGACGTGCAGAGTTCAAGATCCCTTATCTCAATGATCACTCAGAATGAGTGTCTTTATGATATGGTCGTGGTTGCATTTGGTTTTGAGTCAGATGTTGCAAGTTTTCTTATTTAGGAATGTTATTGTTTCCACAGACTTTTTTTGGTGTGAACCAGTTGTTGCAGCTGTTACCACCGACTTTTTTGGTGTGAACCAGTTATTTTTCCTGAGTGTTATTGTAACCACAGACTTTTATTAGAACATGTAAGACTTGAATTCTTAGAGATATAAGTTCCATAACAACACATACAAGTTCCATAACAACACACATGTTCTACAATAACACATAAAAGTTTGACATGTCAATACAGACGTCTTACATGTTCCACAATAACACTCATACAAGTTTGAAAAATACAACAAAAGTTTACAACAGAGACTACTTCATCAAGTTTATGCCTTCTTGCATTGTTTTACGATTATGCCCAGTTTCATTACAACTGGTACACGTGTGTTGTTTCCTAGGCCTCTTATTCTCCATGGCTTTCTCAAGGACAGATTTAAATCTTGACTTTTTAGGCTTACCTGGTTGTTGTTTCGGAATAGGTGGCGAACACACTTTAGTCGCAACATGCTCTAGTATTGGAAGTGCAAAATCCCTTGGCATGATGAAAATAGGGAATAAATAAGTCTGTGACAACATAAATCTATAGACCAAATAAATCTGAGATAACTTAAATCTACACCACAATGATGAAAATAGGGACCAAATTAATCTGCGATAACTTAAATCTAGACCAAATAAATCTAAGATAAGCTAAGGATTGGTCAAACCCTAAATCGGACGGTCCAGATTTCTCTATCTTAGATTCTAGAAAACAAATCTGTGGTGTCTTCAAATAAGTCTGTAAAACTATATCTGCGGTCAAAGTGTAACAACAAGCTGTAGAATATAAGTCTGTGACAACTAAAAAGGTAGTTAAGTCTAGATTAAGTCTGCGACAACTATGACACATATATCTGTGATGATGGGAAATAAATCTGTGATTCATAATATATCTGCCGTCAAGAGGTAAAACTCTGTGATCACTAAGAGTCAGTCTAGTTATTATCTTTTGCAGTAACAAATCTGCAACAACGTACAGACTTAATATAAGTCGGTAGGTACTATTAATAAGTCTGCAGAAACGTGATTGACAATAAGTCTGTAGGAAAAACAAATCTGTAGAAATAAATCTGCGAAACCTAGGAAATCTGCGATGTCATCAAAGAAAATCTGTAAGACAAGTTTGTGGTAGACAAAAAATCTGTAATAGCCTATAAATCGGTAGCAACTAGCAACCTATGAAAAAATCTGTATACTAAATCTGTGGTAGAAATAAATCTGTAGAACAAATCTGTGATTCAAAAACAAATCTGCAAGAAAACAAGTCAGCGATAACTATACAATTAAATTTGTGGCAGATTTATAAATCGGTGGCAGATTTATAAAATCTGTGGCAGATTTATAAAATCTGTGGCAGATTTATAAAATCGGTGGCAGATTTTTTCTACAGATTTATTTGAGTTCGCAGAGATCAGTGGCAAAACTGTAAATAATGACAGGTTTTTCTGTAAATAACGGCAACTTTTGCCTAGCTGGCATTTTTTTTTAATGGCATTTTTGTTATTATGTTTTTTTTGTACAAAGCTTTACATGGGTATTTTGGGGATTAAAAAAAAAACGAAAACACTCTAGTTATTATTAAAAGATATGAGTCATTCTACTTATTAATCCCCATATAAGAGTCATTCTAGTTATTCTCCCAAAAAGAAATGCAAGATTAAAAGTATAAAGGATTTTTCCCTCGTGTTCGGCTATAGCGGGAAGAAGTAAAAAAAAAAAAAACTGCAAAACAAAACATAAACCTCGCCGTAAAGTGTATTGAAAGGATTACAAAACCCACTCATTTTGGTTTAAGAAAAAACAATAGACACAACCAAACTTGATGTCGTTTAGCTCTTAAAACGATAGAGCATGTATTCACTCGATTTTAAGTTTAAGAAACAATATTACAAAAAATTTCTCTAATTTGTTAGGGTTTGCAATTCAGAAAATTTTGAAGGAGTAGAAGCATTAGATTAAGGCAATAAGGCTTTAGGTTTTTGCTTATCATGTAAGATCAATTTTCGGTACAATATTTTGCTTTTGTGTTTGCAAGTAAGCTGGATTTGTTATGGATTTTGTTTGGTTTCATTGTTGTTTTTTTTTTGTTTGTTTGGTTCCATGTTTGGTTGTGATATGTCGTTTAGTGAAATCAAAGCAATACGTTTTCAAATTAATTTGTTCCAAACAAATAATATTCTTTACGTCAAGGTTTATGTTGCTGGTTTTAATATTCTTTTTTTTTTTCTTTTTTTTTTTTTTTTTTTTTGTCAAAAGATGGTTTTAAAAGAAACAATAGTTGATTTTACTTCGAGGTTGATCTTGCATTTTTTTGTAATGTAGAAAGTTTTTTTTGTTTTGGCAATTTTCCCTTAAATAAATTATCTAAACTACTAACTTTTGGCAGAAGATATTTGTAAACCTATACAATTATAAATTTCCTGTTCTGATTTTGTTCCCTCGTAATTATTAACTTATCACGGGCATAATCGTCCTCGTTGGTTATCAAATTAGGGTTTCATCTTCAACTAGTTTGCTTACAACACAAGCCAACCATGTCCAAAGCCAATAAGCGACGTTCAAAATCGAGGAAACGAGGAGAAAATCCAGATTCCATCCCAACTGATCTCATTATCGAGATATTCTCAAGATTGCGAACAAAGTCAATCGTGAGGTTTCGTTGCGTGTCGAAGCTATGGCGGTCCATGCTTCACTGTCCATATTTCACCGAGTTGTTCTTGACCAGGTCTTTAGCTCGTTCACGTCTCTTATTTGGTGTCGAAGGATTCGGTGAGTGGCTCTTCTACTCGTTGCCTCAGCCTCAGCATCCATATGAGAAGTCTCTTGTAGTAACCGCTGATTTTCATACGAAGTTCCGTGTAAAGATAAATGGAGAGGGTATGAGCTATGCCTCTGGTTTGATCTATTTCCCTAATACGCTATGTAACCCTATCACGGGACAGTATGCGATCTTACCTAAACTCATAAGGTATAGAATGGTGAATAGCTTTTTAGGGTTTGATCCGGTTGACAAACAATTCAAGGTATTGTGTGAGGCTTATCCATTTAGTCATGGAAGCGGTCATCATAAAATTTTGACATTAGGAACTGAAAAACTTAGGTGGAAGAGGAAGAACCATTTTCTCTCATACATAAATTCTTTTTATGTAGAGGACGTATGCATCAATGGGGTTTTGTATTACTTGGCTGAAAAAGCTGTTGGATCGGAGTTTATAGTTTGCTTCGATGTTAGGTCTGAGAAATTCAAGTTTATTGAAGCAGAATGCATATCCCTTTTTGACAAATTGATAAACTATAAGGGTAAATTAGGTGGGATTGAGTTGATTTGTGATGTTCATGGTGCTATCGTTGAGATTGGTATGTGGATTCTAGAGGATATGAAGATACAAATATGGTCAAAATATGTCTACACTTTGCCGCCGAATAATATCGTTGATCACTCCTGTTTCTCCGTTGCTGGAGTTACTGCTACAGGTGAAATTGTTTTGACCAAGGACTATACATTTACATCTAAACCTTTTTATGTTTTCTACTTCAATATCGAAAGGAACACTCTCCGAAAAGTTGAAATCCAAGGATTCGAAGCGCTTGATAATCGTGGTAAAGTGTTAGCTAGCCTTTGTAGACTATGTAGAGGATCTTAATGTTAACGATGCAATAGAGAAACTTAAGTCAAGCATCTCTGCTCAATCTGTGAAGAACAAGTGCAGCCTAAATATCATTACGGAAAGGCCAAAACAAAAAAAACAGCGGGAAGAAGAAAGGTATAGGGACAGGAATGGTAGCATTAAGGAAAAGAAACACATAGAGGGGAAGAAGTGAAAAAAACAGTAGGGAAGATGAAGACGGAAGAAAAAAGATGAAACCGCAAAGAGATACAGATGATCATTGGAGTGATAACGAGTGTAATAAGAGGAGAAAAGAGAGAGACAATGAAAAAAGGGATATGTGAAAGCATTTGTGCTCTTTTTTTGAGCATGTTGTACATGTAGGTGGGAGTGTGCGTGTCAAATCTAACTTTGGTAATGTATTGAATTACAAAACTTTTTCTTATGAATTTTTTTTTTTTTTTTTTGCACCTCTCTTCACTCTTCGTAATCAATAATATAAATCCTCCACCACTGTACACAATGGCTGCCTTGTCACGGTAATTGCAAAGAGGACCAAAAGTGTTTCTTACTTTTTCCAGCCTTGAGTTTCGGAGATTACTTTTGTTAAGATGCTATACAATAAATTAAAACATTATGTGATAGATTATGGAGACATGATGAATTATAGACCTCTACATACTAAATAACATATTACGGAAAATAATAAATTAAAAACACTATTGATGACAATATGTCACATGATTGCTATTTTCTTTCTTATTTGGCAAATAAAAGAAAAAAAAAAAAAAGGAGCGAGTCGCATGGAGTTCCAAATTTGGTTGGCAAGGTATCCATAAATAGAAAAGTTGCCTAGTTTCATGCACTAAGCTTAACCATAAAATCAGATTGATCACATGTGGTTAGCATCAATCATAAAAACAACGAGATAGAGAGAGAGACATGACTGAGGAGAGCCCAGAAGAGGATCATGGGTCTCCAGCCGAAACAAATCCAGGAAGCCCTTCTTCAAAGACCAACAACAACAAAGAACAAGACCGGTTTCTTCCCATTGCAAATGTCGGAAGGATCATGAAAAAAGTTCTTCCCGGTAACGGTAAGATCTCAAAAGACGCTAAAGAAACCGTTCAAGAATGTGTCTCGGAGTTTATTAGTTTTGTCACTGGTGAAGCTTCTGATAAGTGTCAAAGAGAGAAGAGGAAGACCATCAATGGAGATGATATCATTTGGGCTATCACAACTCTCGGTTTCGAAGACTACGTGGCTCCATTAAAGGTCTACCTCTGCAAATATAGAGACACCGAAGGAGAGAAAGTTAACAGCCCAAAACAACAACAACAAAGACAACAACAACAACAACAACAACAGATTCAACAACAGAATCATCATAATTATCAGTTTCAAGAACAAGACCAAAACAATAACAACATGTCATGTACTAGTTACATCTCTCATCATCATCCTTCTCCATTCCTACCGGTGGATCATCAACCATTTCCCAATATTGCTTTCTCTCCTAAATCATTGCAGAAACAGTTCCCGCAGCAGCAGCATGATAATAACATTGATTCCATTCACTGGTGAGAGAGACCTTTGTTTTCTTCTTCTTTCTTTTCATATATTATATGCTTTTGTGAGTACATCTTGATGCTTATATTAATTATATTGTTGCTAAATAGAAACATTAGATACGTACATTTTGATATTTTCAGTATACCCATGTCATGGTTTTGTGTAACAGACATACTTCTTCATATATTTTTTTCGAATCGGATTAGTACGTCTCGAGCAAACAGAGCAATCTCTAACTCAGGATTTACACCAACATGAGTAATATTGTTCCAAGTGGGATTTTTGGATTAGCATTTGATAGTTAGCAATATGTTCTAGCTGATAAGGTTCCACTGACGTTATAGCTTGATTTTCATGTATCATGAAATTCATCACAATCCCTAGTTAATTTTGGGAAATCATCTGCTGATGATAACGAAATTAATGGTTTATTGTTCTTCACTCATTTCCCTCATATTTTGTATAAAGATGGTTAAGTTATGGATAACTTTAAACTGTTACTCACTTACTCATAGTACCTTATCATGAAACCAGAAGATATAAAAGAGAATGCATTTGTGATACAATGTATGTAAAATGTTGCAGATTGGATATGAAGCAACCCAGTTATTTTTTATACATATCAATAAGAGAAAGTGGAAACTATGAATCTGATTGGATAACAAGCAACCCAATTATATTTCTTTTTACATAAGAGAAAGCAGTAGCTATGAATCTGATTGGGTATGAAGCAACCCCAATTATAAATTTTTACATATAAATAAGAGAGAGTAGACATGTTCATTTTGGGAACCAAACTTAGTCATCCTTGTAGACCAAAGTCGGGTACTCTGGATTCCACATGTTGTTTTCCACGTACTCCATCAGCTCCTCCTGCGAAACACACAAGACCGCGTCAATATAACTAACATATCGGCTTAGTTGTTGGTTAGTCTTTATATTCTCTGCTGGAGAAATCAGGTAAACACTATACTGTTCCTAACATATAACCAAACTCGATCAACATTCTACGTAGAAGACGATTTGATCATCACGAGTCCCAAACAAGTCAGAGAGATGTTGTTTCGATATCTTTTCTTTTTCTATCATTTATGATTAAAGCCGGTCATTAGCTGAATTTATTACCTCATTCAGCTTTTGGAGCTCTCGAGCGTCCATTTCCCTATATCCTTCAACCAAATCCTCCTCAATCGCTTCCTTAATCACCGCAGCTGCTATTCTTTTTGTTATGTCTCGTATCCTGCATTTTCAATTCCACACGCCAAGTTTAACATTTCTATCAACCACTTTTTCTTTTGCAACACTAAGAATGTTCTTTTATTGTGTTACCTTGATATTGGAGGGTATATAATCCCTTGTAGCACTTCTTCTTCGCTCATGTATGCTGCTAGGCTGCAGTTGTTTAGCAGAACAATGTCATGATCCCACATCCATAAATTATGGGACTTGTTTAATTTTTCATCGTCTCCTTAAATACGAGCTTTACACTAACTACTCTATGAAACCTCAACCGAAGGCCTACTTTTGGGAATACCATTTGGAGAAAACATGTCGAACTACTGTGGCCTCTGTTTCGTGGGTGGCAGGTATGTTATAGTTTGTGACATCAGCTAATAATGTGATTGGTAATATGCAAAAATTCTTAATAGTTATTTAGATTTGATCCATAGTTAATTAGTTATATATCATTGTACTCACTTCACCTGTAGTTGAGAATAAATCTGGAAAGATAAAATGCAGAAGGCAAAGAAAAGAGCTTACCACTCGGATGCGGCCTGAAGCATCCCGTCCGAGACAATGGGAGCACCAGATAGAAGAGTGCCAAGTCCAATACTACATTAAAATTTACAGGATTAGAGAATCAATTTTTTCATGGCCATCAATGCATCCAGTCAAGAATGTATGCAATTTTTTCTGCCGATGAACAAGCGGAACTAACCCTGGAAATAGATACATGTTGTTTCCCTGGTTGCAATGTCCTACATGACCACTACCTGCCAAAAGAAAAGGTACTAATATTTCAAAAAGCCTCCTATACAAAGGCGTATAACAAACGATGCAGTAGTCCTCGTACATACCAAATTCCACATTCTTGAATGGGCTTCCACTCGCAAAAATCATATTTTCGCCTAATATAGAGAATGCATCTTGAGGCGTGCATTCAGCTGTTATTTAAAACACAAGTAAATATTAAATCAACCCTGAAAAGAATCACAAATAACCGGAAACCACATTTTAATGCAAACAAAGGAGACAATTTACCATTTTTTGTGGGGTTTGACATAGCAAATATAGCAGGTCTTGTCGAGGTTGAACCTTTCATAGCTTCTAAAACCTTAAACACAATATACCAACAGTGACTTCCAAAATATCAACTTCCATGTCAGAATCATGCAAGTAAGACGCACCAAAGCCTCTTGCAGAATTATGAGCTATGCTACATTCTACTTGCTCACTCATCTAACTAGCAATTACCATGGAAACCAGATAATGAAGACAATGGTCATTTTCCTTACCTCTTTTGAGAATAACCCTCCAACTGCAGATAAACCAAGAAGCACATCAGGTTTAACTCCTCGAACCTAGCCACAGAAGAAACAGAAAACCGTTAGTTTCTTGCTAATATTCAGCATGCAAACTTTTTGAGGGAGAAGTTAAACTAAACACAAGACTCATTGCCAAAATAGATTTAGTATAGTTGATGAACATATTGATAGAAAGAATAACAGACCACTTCCACAAGAGTTGCTCCTTCTTTTAATCCCTGACGCTCCATTTCTTTAGTCTTCCTAGCAAAAGGCTGAGCCTCTGGGTCAATATTTTCTCGTCTTTCAGTGATAAGACCCTGATTTAAGTACAACAAAAAGAGTTAACAACTTCAGCTCCTTAAGCTGCTGGACCAAAACACACGCCAAAAAAAAAGGGATGGTGAAGTGATTTGGCAAACTGTTAAAGGAAACCGGAGGGAAATCGTTGATTGGGGGAAAACGTACCTGAGCATCAACCACCCAAAATTGACTTTGTGCACTATCAAACGCAGTTTCCGTATTTCCTAACATCCGTGCCATAGTCTTCCTTGCAGCATTTAGAACACCAATTCCCGCACTGCAAAAATCAAAGATTTGAACAAGGAAGCTTAGTATTCTGATACAACTATTCTAAGCTGACTTATGCAGTGATGCCGCTGAAAGTTTCCATCTGTTAAATCTCTTCAAATGTTACTCAAAACTAACAATCCCTGACCATAAATAAGTAAACAATAACACCAAGACCAATTTTTTACCAATAAAAATCTCTAAAAACTAAAAATAGCAACAGAGAATGGCTTACCTTCCGGCGCCAGCAACAACGATCTTCATCTTTGGAAAATCAATCATAGGCCTGCCCTGTGCTCTAACTGCTCCAAGAAGACCAGCGATCGCAACCCCTGCTGTCCCCTAAGCCAGAACATGAAACATAATAGTCATAACAAGAAAAAACAAGAATTTAGCATCAGCACTTAGATTTTTAGGTTCCTTGCTATTGTCTCTTTAATGCATCTGGTCGTATGGAAAAGATTAAGAATAACTACTGAACGATAAGATGATGGTTTGAGCAGATAAAATATGATATTTTAAAAACAGAAGTTCATAATTATTTCAAACAGAGTAGCGCCTCAGAAAATGCTAGGGTTTAGGGTTTAGGGTTTAGGGTTTAGGGTTTAGGGTTTAGGGTTTAGGGTTTAGGGGGCAAACTTAACTGACATATTGACCTAATATAAATACTGCACAAATAAATAATAGTATTTCATCTTCACATGAATCGTTCTAAGGCGGAAGACTCATTACCTGGACATCATCATTGAACATTCGATAGGTGCATCTATACCTCTGCAATAATTTAAAAGCCCACTTGCTCTGGAAATCCTCAAACTGTGGGTAGAAAAACATTAAAGTTTCATAATAAGAAACATTTGATATACCAAAGATCTATGAAACATCAGTTACCTGCACGATAACATGTGGCCACCGGGTATACACTGCCTCCATAAATTCATCAATAACATCTACATAGTCGTCATCCTCTAAACGATGTTGCTGCAGACCCAAGTCTGTCAAAAAAAGAAAAAAAACACACAAAGAACGATGACATGACAGATAATAAGCTATTCTCGTTCATGTCTCTGAACTATTGGAAATCCCTAAACCATTAAAGACAAAATAACATGTCGTATAGCCAAATTATTTTGTTTCAACGAAGAAAAAGAGAGAATGATATGATAGACTCCTGCACAATACTATAAACCTTTGACATTTTAATATATGTATGTATGTATATGCATACACAAATCTCAAATACGCATTCTCTACCTCCTTATGTAAAGAGACAGATGATAAATATGCTTCAACATACTCAAAACATCAGAAAACAGTTATATTATATGTAGTCGGAAAGAAGAGAACCGCTATTAACCTATCATAGTCATCTTATAATAATTGACTTTAAAAAGGTAAGAGGAGTAAATGAATCTTACACATGGGGTCCTTGAGTAGTTTTTCATTGTTCGTTCCAACATCAATCATGACAGGAAGTACCTAAACCAGCATGTGCTCATAAGTATTGTATCACATTATCATTGCAAAAAGTGGAGAAAGGGGGAAACTACGAAAATAGAAGATGCTGTAAGTACCCTTTGTGGATTTATTCCAGCTGCGGCAACGTATAAATCAAGCTTCCCTACAGCAATTCCAATTCCATGAACGCCTAGATCTCCAAGACCCAAGATCCGGCTTCCATCGGTAACAACAATCATATCAACCTAAATGTGGAATAAGAACATTACATCAGAAAACTAATTGTCACACCAGTTTCTTGGTATAAATAGACACAGTTGAGATATCTTGAGGATAGTGTCAGATATATCAAAGAACCTGTTCAGCTGGCCAGTTGTAAACCATAGACATCATTTCACCACGATCTTCAGCACTAAAATACATTCCCCTTGGCCTCCTAAACAACCCACTATAGTTCTGGCAGACAAGACCAACCGTAGGAGTGTAGACTATCGGTGCATACTCCTCAATATTGTTAATCAAAACCTAAAAACAATGTAAGAATTAAAGTGAATAGCCTCTTCAGAAAACAAAACAAGCGTAGCAAGCAAAATCTTACACAGATTTTAAGAGCAAATAGAGCAAAAAGGAAATGAGTTCACCTTATAGTACA